TTTTCTTTATCGTGCCAACGTTTCGATCTTTATTGAGATCATCTTCAAGCTCAAAGTTTTGTCTTCTGTGTAATTGTGCCATTCTTGCGTGTCGTGTTGAGAGTGCACAATTACACAAAAGACAAACACTTTGAGCTCTGAAGATGATCTCAATAAAGATCGAAACGTTGGCACGATAAAGAAAATGTTTTTCTGAAACCTACATCACACCAGATCGCATCTCACGATTTCTGAATAATTATCGATTAACGGTCACTAATCACCACACATAATTTATAAAATTATCCTAAAGGATCTATGTTTACTGTGCGTTGTTACCCATGATGAGCCTATTTTGACCTAATGGGTGCAACTGGTCAAGTTAACTTAAATATACCCTGGACAATTTTTCAGTAATTTCAAGCGGCTTATCATTATAATGATCCTTGGTTATTTTTTGACGATCATCTTTGATTTCAAGAGAGGTCGATGAGTCGTTACATTGGTCGAGCGAGTCGATCCGCCGGCTGCCTTAGTCGGCCCGATTGAGAGAAAACCCGGAGATCGGTCACTGTCAAAACGCCAACTTTGTCCTTATCGGACCGGCTAGATATCCCCTGTACATAAACACCGGCTTGAAAAACAATTTCGGTTTTTGTCCACCGGTCCGATGTCTTGTTTGTTCTCTACCTGGCCGTCGACGTACACATGTAGCCTCATCGCGCCCTGCTACATCTCCGACTGAGATTAGATACGGCTCAACATTATTTGCAGTCTGTATCAGGCGCTAATTTGTAAAAGAAACAAAGGAGAGTTCATTTTTTTGAATTATTACTCTCATTCGAAACGCAGATTTGACGAGACAGGATCATTGACACATTTGGAACATGATTAACATGTATGGTTTACAACACAACATAAACAGATTTTATTTTTATTAAATTAAATAAACTATCTATAATTTATTTTTTTCACAACCGGGTACCATCCTATGTAATAATCAACTTTGACAACCCACAAGGCGAATATTATAAGAAAATCATCACGGAGTCCTTCCTTTAGCCTCTATTCTTGAGAGAACGAAAAACAATTAATTTATTAAACTGACTTTTATTGTTTATAAAGTTAATTAAACTTTTAAACAATTAAACTGTAGCATTTCGAGTTAGGTTCGATATTGAAATTATCTGCATATATTTTTTTTAAACTGTCTAGCTGTGTCTCTATTCCTACCAGAATTCACATCTGCTTTCGATAGCTTATACATTCAACATTATTCACACACCCTCTCTCTCTCTCTTTGTCTATCTGTCTGTCTGGCTTTCTCTCTCTCTCTCTCTCTCTCTCTCTCTCTTTTTCTTTTTCTCTCTCTATCTCTCCCTTTCTCTCACCCTCTGTCCATCTCTCTCCGTTTCTATAGTAACTCAATCTAATGCAATTTTTCTGTTTGTAATGTTGTCTTGCTTTCTAGCACTTTTTCTTAAAAAGTCTGCCTTTCCTCTCTCTCTCTCTTTCTTTTTATGTTCTCACCCTCTCTTCCTCTCTCTCGACAATCGCTTTCTTTCTTTCTCTCACTCTCTCTCTTTCTCATGCTTTCTCTCTCAATCTACCTATCTCTTTCAGTCTCACTCTTTCTCTATCTATCTTCTCGCTCTCTCCTTCCCTTTTTCTTTCTCCCTCTTTCTCTCTTTCCGACTCTCTTCATTTACATATTCCCTTATTCTAATATAATCTTTCTGTTTGTAATGTTTTGTTTTATAGGATTTTTTCTTAAAACGTCTCCCTCTTTTCTCTGTCTGTCTCTATTTCTTTTCTCTCTCTCTCTCTCTCTCTCTCTCTCTTTCTATCTATCTATCTCTTTCTCTCAAAATTTGCAAAAGAAGTTGAATTTTGTTTTTCATTTTTTAAATTTTGCATTTTTTTGGCTGCACTACCCCTGTTCAAAACTTATAGTTGGTTAAAAAAACATAAATGCGTTTTACATTTAAGGTTTTTAGAAATGATAAATGATGGAGTGAGTGTGGTGTTCAATCCTTTTTTAAAAAGATAGTTCCTTCTCACAGTAAGTTGTTTTGCAACGATCCGGATTTCGAGCCTTTTAGCTCATCATCAGGTTGAAGGACTTCTACAACCACGTCTCTCGACATGAATTGCCAAAGTGAACCCGCTGATACCTANCGTAGCAAAACAACTTACTGTGAGTAGGAACTATCTTTTTAAAAAGGATTTAAGGTTTTTTTTTAAATTCTAGCCTTATTTGCTGAGAAATCGCTGGATTTTCAGCCTCGCCCAGTATAATGCATAATAACGCTGGTTAAATAAAAGCGAAGGTGTTAAAATAAACAAATAAAACTTCACATATTTAATTAATTAGTATTAATTTCAATTAATAAAACAGGATTTTTCTTTAGTGATTATTTTCGTGCTAGCTACTACAATTCATAAACCAGCGAGACCTTGCGAACCAGCCGAAAACGGTTTTTATTTTATCGACTCAACCAAACTGCATTTTCATTTATGCGCTCGTTTTATAAGATTCAACATATTAATATTTAAATTAATTAAAAATAATGAAGGAATGTTTGTGGAAACAAGACAAGTTGTAAAATTTGTCCTCTTTAGATAACCGTACATTCAATTGGCTCTTTTCTAAGAAAATGTTACATAATGCCTAGTTACAATTATTTTACGAAATAAACAGTTGTACTGTTTGCATATTTTATGTTGATTTGTTTGTTATTGACAAAATAGCAAATATTCGGTGGAGTCTTGTCTTTGTCTTCATATAAAGTACGAAGATAAATATTCCATCAATTTGTTTTTGTTTAAAACTTTTAAGTTTTAAGTTTAAAAATTAAGTTAAAAATAATCTACCAGACTATCATTTTTCGAAATAAAATTAATTGAGCATAAAATCCATAGAAAAATGTCCAATTTCCTGATTCTGGAATGACCCTCGCTTCTAAGACGTTCCTTGTTCCTGATCCTCTCCCGGTCGCACAGAACCAGCACCGATATATTAACCGGTTTATTGTTCTGCTTTTAGTCTGACAGCCGTAAAATGTTTGTATGGCTGGAAGACAGGTGGGAAGAGCGTAACTCGTGACTCGTCCGCAAATAGAAGAGGGCCGTAGATCAGTGGATTAGTCTTCCCCTATTTGTCACCCATGTCTCACCGCCTAGTTAGTCATTTACAACCAACCGGGCGACCGACGGGAATCCTCAGGATCGCTTCCTTCCAAAAGAAAAACACTTCCTTTACAAACGGAGAAAAAAACTACTTCCCTTGACAGGTTTAGTAATATGATTTGGACGAGTGTTCGAAGTCGGATTGAAAACGTGAACCAACCCCAAAAATGATCTATTAAACAGCGGGAAATTATTTACAGAGATGGATATGATAATACGATTTTCTATACATCAGTAATTAAAAAAACATCACGGCGAAAGCGAGAAAATAACTGAGAGACAGACGGACGGAGACAGGGCGAAAGAGATAGATAGATTGAGAAGAGAGGGAGACAGTGAGAGAAAGATAGACAGACAGACAAAAAACATAGAGGAAATGAGAGTGAGAGAGAAAGTGGGAGAGGGAGAGAGAGAGAGAAAGAGAGAGAGAGAGAAGATAGAACAAGGGAAAATGAAGGGAGAGAAAGAGAGATAGAAAGAGAAATGGTGGGTAAAAGCGAGAAATTATGATAGGGAGAGCACGAATAGATAGGCAAACTGAACGGGAAATAGGGGACATAATTTTGATGAGAGAGACAGCCAGAGAGAGAGAGAGAGAGAGAGAGAGAGAGAGAGAGAGAGAGAGTGAGAGAGAGAGAAAAAAAGAAAGAGAGAGATTGGGAGGTAGAGAGAAAGAGAGAGAAAGAGAGATAGAGAGAGAGTGAGAGAGAGAGAGAAAGAGAGAGAGAGAGAGAGAGAGAGAGAGTTGGGCACATCCAGAGAGAGGGGAAGAAGAGAGAGTTAGGGACAGCTAGAGAGAAGGAGAGATAGAAAGAAAAAAGAGAGAGATTGGGAGGTGGAGAAAGAGAGAGATATTGAGGGTTAGAGACAGTCAGAGAGAGGGAAAGAGAGAGAAAAAAGAGAGATTGGGCGATGGAGCAAGAGAGAGATATTGAGGGTTAGAGACAGTCAGAGAGAGGGAAAGAGAGAGAAAAAAAGAGAGAGATTGGGCGATGGAGCAAGAGAGAGAGAAGAGAGAGTGATTGAAAGTGAAGGATCAGTGATAGATAGATAGACAGATAGAGAGAGAGAGAGAGAGAGAGAGAGAAAGAGAGAGAGAGAGAGAGAGAGAGAGAGAGAGAGAGCACAGCCAGAGAGAGGGGAAGATAGAGACAGTTAGGGACAGCTAGAGAGAAAGAGAGAGAGAAAAAAGAGAGAGATTGGAAGGTGGAGAAAGAGAGAGATATTGAGGGTTAGAGACAGTCAGAAAAAGAGAGAGATAGAGAGGAAAAAGAGAGTGATTGGGAGGTGGAGAAAGAAAGAAAAAAAGAAAAGAGAGAAAGAGCGAGAGAGAAGGTGAGGGAGTGCCAGAGACAGGGAGAGTTAGAGAGATAAGAAAGAGAGAGATTGGGCGATGGAGAAAAAGAGAGAGAAGAGAGAGTGATTGAAGGTGAATGAGAGATAGAGACATATTGGGGGTGGAGAAAGATAGATAGATAGATAGAGAGAGAGAGAGAGAGAGAGAGAGAGAATGAGAGAAAGGCGAGAGGAACAAAATAATAATCACGTATCATAATATCATTCAAAATAATCATGTATAACAAACTTCTCAAAAATTAGAAATAGAAATGAGCAATATTTATATTTTAAAAGATTTACGTAAAATGATAGAATTTAATTTTTCTTCATATCATTAAAGGTTTTCTCATTTTTCATCATCTTTCTTCAGTCTTCATTAAAGGTGTTAGAAAACTACATATAGACATAGTTGAAAATGATGAAACGAACATTTTATTGCACGTCTATTCCATGTTATTGCCCAACTGAGAGAACTTTCTTTTTGGTTTTTCCAGTATGGGGCGGAAGGGTGGAGGTCGGGGGCATTAAAACTGAGGATGGAGACGACGGAAAAGAAGGCGGCTCCGGCCTGGGTAAAACAAAGACTGGAAAGAGACAGAGGCGGCAAAGGACGCACTTCACCTCTCAGCAACTCCAGGAACTGGAGGCGACTTTCTCTCGCAACAGGTACCCCGACATGAGTACCAGGGAGGAGATAGCTATGTGGACCAACCTCACCGAAGCCAGAGTTAGAGTAAGTAAATTTGTTATATAAATTAATATTATTTAATTAATTAATAATGCCTAGTAATTTCTCTGAGGAATTTTAATTGGATATTTGACAGCTTAGCACAAACTCCTTATGTCCGAAGAGGACTTTTGGCAGTTAAAACTTTCAGACCTAAAAATCTTTTGTTTTGTTGTCATCTCTTAAGTCTTGTTTAAGGGTCTAGGTTTTAGTTCGAAATATCTGACTTGAGCGGAAGTCAGTATCTACAGTGTTGATGTACAGTGGTCTCAAGTTGGTCATGGATGTTGGAAGTTACTTGGATAGAAATCGAATTATAAGACATGTTGTGTCATCTGTATAGGAAATTCGGAAATATAAATGGTAAAAGGACAGGACAAAGAAAGTTCCCTTGTGATTCGCCAGCATCTGTAGGTATACTTCTTAAACCAAACTTATTTCAGTCTCAAATGTCGTTGGGGGTTTTTGGCTGTAAATTTCCCACAGCTGTACTAAGAGGAGCAGAGTCGAGACATTTTATGACGTGTTTTGGACAAATAGCACACTCGAAATTTAACACAATCTGTGGTTTGATATTTGTTATAAACTCTTTTGAATTTAGGGGTTTGGTTTACTTACTTGTTTATAATGGAAGGAGCGAAAACAGTACCAGAATGGTTAACAAATGAAAGGATCAAACAGTTGGTTAAAGTAGGATAAAATTCAAGTACTAAATCCATTATATTTCGTGGTCTGATTGACCAAATAACTTCTTTCAATTAATTAATCTTTTTATGTAAGGTATTGGTTGAAATGAAAAAGTTAGTGTCACGAGCGGGACTCGAACCCACGACCTTCGGCTCAGTACGTCGCTGCTCTAACGACTTGAGCCGAAAGGTAAGTTGAGATGGGGAGATAGTGACCGAGTGGATCGAAGTCACGATATCTCAAGTGGTAGAGCAGCGGCGTATTGTGCCGAAGGTCGTGGGTTCGAGTCCCGCTCGTGTCACTAACTTTTTCATTTCAACCAATACCTTAGATAAAAAGATTAATTAATTGAAAGAAGTTATTTGGTCAATCAGACCACGAAATATGATGGATTTAGTAATTGAATTTTATCCTGCTTCAAAAATTCAAAAGGTAGGGTTGAGTTAGGAAGTTGATGTCCGAGTGGATCGAGGTCACGATAGCTCAAGTGGTAGAGCAGCGGCATATCTAGCCGAAGATCGTGGGTTCGAATCCCGATCGTGCCATTGACTTTTTTATCACAACTAAAAACCTTAATTAATTGTAATGTATTAATTGGTCAAGCGGACAACAAAAACTAGTGAACTTATTAGTAAACCTAAAAATAACCTTCCTTCATAAATTAGCATATTTAGCAAAACATGATTTCGGAAGGTCGTTTAAGATTTTTCGTGCTGTATTAATAGCACAACAACACTTTTAATTATTTAGTTGTGAATCGTGTTAAGGTTTATTTTTCCTACATGTTTTCATTGTTTTGGTCCGTCCACATTTTACCATCTTCAGTGCAATTTTGTGAGTCGTGTCCATTTTTGAGTTCAAAAGTGATAAAGCCATATGTTTATTATGTAAAAAAATTTACATATTTGGACCCAAAAGCTCTGGGTGGACGTTTTTATTCTATATCTTGAACTAATCTTATGGCGTTATCTGGACATCAGTCAAGATTTTTTTGACAATTGGTATATATGAACTCGCGCAGAAAATGCACTCCTGAGTTTGTGTGGAGTACATCTACCATGGTTGCTAAAGGGCTGTTAGAGCATAACATTAGGAACTTATTTTGAGTTCTTTGCAGCTTGTTATAATTGGTGTTACAAGTTAAGCCCCAAGGAGCGCATTTTTATATGTCAACACTGGCCATACTACGGTTTTGTAGATGAGCAACTTATTATGAACGATGAACTGAGACTCTCGACCCAGGAGAGGAAAAAGTATTTTTACTTGTTTTCTTCCTTTTTGAATTAATTCATTGAAGTACCCGACAGTCCTTTCCGCTGCCCTGCTCAATCAGTTCACTATGGCACTCACCCTCCACCATAATGTGTAGGTAACAAGGTCAGTTCAACGCCAGGGGTTTTGGGCAGATCATTAATATAAATGAAAAGCAGAGTAGGTCCCAGAACAGTGCCTTGTGGGACTCCAGCAGCCATTACCAATCATGATTCTACTTCTTGAATTGATACTACAACCTTTCGTCTCGTGAGGGGTCCATTTTTCTTTTTCCACTGTTATGTTTATATTATGTGAATCGTCAACACTGGCTTCGTAGATGAGCAACTTGTTATGTACGCTCAACTGGTACTCTCGACCCAGGAGTGGAAAAAGTATTTGTACATGTTTTTTTTCTTTTTTGAATTAATTCATTGATAAGGGCTGCAAGCCTTAGCTTAGCATCAAGCCAAACGGCGAGGTACCGCATTAAAGGAGACCAGTTAATTTCTCCACCATTAAGGTGAACTTTAAGATCTACAGTTGGACCTCTTTTCGTGAAGAGTACGGCTTAGTCTTACTTATTTCCACTTCGTAAAGTATCCGACAGTCCTCTCCGCTGCCCTGCTCAATCGGTTCACTATGACATTTACCCTCCACGATGATGTGTAGAGCGCAGGGTCATCCACGAACAAGGTCAGTTCAACGCCAGGAGTTTTGGGCATATCATTAATATAAATGAAAAGCAGAGTAGGTCCCAGAACAGAGCCTTGTGGGATTCCAGCAAGGGTCCATTTTTCTTTTCCCATTGTTATGTTTATATTATGTGAATTGTCAACACTGGCTTTACTATGGTTTTGTAAATGAGCAACTTGTTATGAATTGCTTTACTGATACTCTCGACTCAGGAGTGGAAAAATTATTTTTACTTGTTTTCTTCCTTTTTGAATTAATTCATTGATATGGGCTGTAAACCTAAACTTAGCATCTAGCCAAACGCCGAGGTACCTGATTGAGGGAGACCAGTTAATTTCTTCACCATTAAGGTGAATTTTAGGGTCAACAGTTTCGTGAAGAGTATGGTTTAGTCTTACTTATTTCCACTTCGTAAAGTGCCCAAAAGTCCTCTCTTCTTCCCTGCTCAATCGGTTCATTATGCCACTCACCCTCCACGGTAATGTGTAGAGCGCAGTGTCATCACGAACAAGGTCAGTTCAACGCCAAGGGTTTTGGGCATATCATTAATATAAATGAAAAACAGAGTAGGTCCCAGAACACAGCCTTGTGGGACACCAGCTGCCAAATTACCAACCCGTGATTCTACGCCTTGAATTGATACTACAACCTTTCGTCGCATGAGGGTCCATTTTTCTTTTCCCACTGTTATGTTTACATTATGTGACTCGTTATAATTTGTGTCTTCGTGTTTTCTCATATGAATTTAGATCGACTTTAACCTTGAATTGTTCGGGGATCATAGGAGGTTCTTTATTTTGTATAGAAAGACCCAATTGACACCGCACAATAACAGACTAACTACTGTAAGTGTACAAATGTGCTTATAACGTGTTTTTTTAAATGGGTTTCAAGTTTTAAACAAATCTAAAGGTCGGTTGGCTCATTGTTCAGTTGCCGCCCCAGAAGAAGCTTCTGAAGCATTTAAACTGCAACTTTTAGCTATATAAAAGGCACCTTGTTGGCTTATTTATTGAGAAGAAACATAATAAAGAATGAAGAAACATAATGTTAACCACTAAGAATTCATTTTGAAATGAAATGGACGTAATACTAGGAACGGGACGAAATCGGAGACATTGCTATGACAGCGAGATAGAGCCGGGCGTTATCTGGAGTTTGCTCAGGTCCGCTTCGGGCCTTATCTTTACCGTGATAACCGAAAAATAGAAAGAGAGAGGGCGAGCATGATTTGTGAGACGGCATGAGGAGGATTCCTCGGAACCGGCGCGAGCGAGAGTGAGATGAACAGAGAAACGACTGTAGAGCAAGCAAAGGAAGGAGAGGTCAATACAAGAGTGCAAACAAACAAAATTGTTTGTTTTCCATCTTATAAAACATCTGCACGGGGAGAGCAAATAATGAAAAAAAAGAGCGGTTTTGTAATTTAAGCTGAGAGCAAACAAAATTAATGCGCCTAATCCTGAGCGTGTTCTTTGTTAATTTTGATGTAATTCCTTTTAAAACACGTTTTTTATCCATATTTCCTTCCGTCGAATATTGACGGTTTAGTCAATAACTAAGATAAAAGAAATCACTGTCATCATCAAAATCATATACTGTCACGATAGCTTTAGTGGTAGAGCAGGGGCGTATTGAGCCCAAGATCATGGGTTCGAATCCGCTCGTGACGCTAACTTTTTCATCTCCATCAAGACCTTAGATTAAAAAGAATAATTAATTGAAATAATAGCATTTTTTCTATAATATTATATAGCCGGGAGGAAGTTCAGGTATTAATTATGTAGTTATTTAGGTCGTATTTTAAATCCATAAAAAATATTTTTAAATATTATTTTTACAAAAACGAAGATTTCAAATTTATGTTGACTTATTGCTGGCGTTGAAATTTCAATTATCTAAGGTTTCAACTATTTTATGGAGTGTTTCAAGCCAAAGTTGCTTAAAATAGTCAATAATTCTTTGGTGCAACTACTATTAAATTTCTATTACAGACTTGAATTGGTTAAAGCAAAGATTTTTATTCTCTTCATGTTGGATTAGATTCTTGAAGACGTCTGATGCTAATGCAAAAATCTGTAATAGTTTTTTGCTATAAAACTTTTTGTGTTTTGAGTTTAGTTTACTATTATTATTATTATTAATTACCAATAACCATGTAGGTCGGGAGTTTTTCTTTTGACAGAATGGAGATTTTGCATCGCAGAAATCAGCCCATAGTTACAAAATTTTTCTGGAATGATTTCTATTTTTATTTTTTTAAATTGTATTGTTATTATATTCATGTTGGACTAGATTCTGGCGGATGCCTGGTGCCAATGCAAAAATCTGTAATACTTTCTTGGTATAAAACTTTTTTGTGTTTTCATTTA